GGGCGTCATTAGGATTGGTGTCCCCCGTTGTAAACGCACGGTGTCGCCCGCCCCCCCCCCCCCACGGACCTGCAACGATTAATTCTTAACCAGATCATACAGAATCTCTTTATAATATTGTTATTAACTACTTAAGTCCATACACGGTTTTTTTTTATGCAACATCAACAATATTACTTTTAAAACTTTACTTTGCGATGCAATGCTTTCAATTTCTTCGTCAAAATCATCATTCTCCACCTTATCATTCAACTGACAAATAGCAAGGCCAGAAACCCTAGATTATTCCATGATAGGGGTGTTAGAATGCATGTATTTTAAGCTTCTGCTTTGAAAAGCTCTTCTCAGGTGAAGTCAAAGATCTTGAGAAATAATTTTAGGCTTAATGACTGAATAACATACGGGAGAGATTCTACAAAGTCCCATTCAGTAATGAATTTCAAAAGTGACCTATCGGTTAACTGGCTTGTTCTAGATTAGTTTCTGCTGCTTTCAGTTTCAGCTGTCTTTGCAGCCCAGGCATTTCAATAAAGATTCTTAGATTAAAAATGTCAATAACATGCTTCAAAAAAGTATATGTTACTTCTTTGGTGGTTCTTGATCTGATCGCCCTCTTGATGGCTCTTGATCTGATCGCCCTCTTGATGGCTCTTGATCTGATCGCCCTCTTGATCTGATCGCCCTCTTGATGGCTCTTGATCTGATCGCCCTCTTGATTTGATCGCCCTCTTGATGGCTCTTGATCTGATCGCCCTCTTGATGGCTCTTGATCTGATCGCCCTCTTGATGGCTCTTGATTTGATCGCCCTCTTGATGGCTCTTGATCTGATCGCCCTCTTGATCTGATCGCCCTCTTGATCTGATCGCCCTCTTGATGTCTCTTGATTTGATCTGCCTCTTTATTTGATCGCCCTCTTCATAGCTCTTGATATGATCTCCCTCTTGATCTGATCTGTCCCTTGCTGGCTCTTGATCTAATCGCCCTCTTGATGGCTCTTGATCTTATCGCCCTCTTGATGGCTCTTGATCTGATCGCCCTCTTGATGGCTCTTGATCTAATCACCCTCTTGATGGCTCTTGATCTGATCGCCCTCTTGATCTGATCGCCCTCTTGATGGCTCTTGATCTAATCGCCCTCTTGATGGCTCTTGATCTGATTGCCCTCTTGATCTAATCGCCCTCTTGATCTAATCGCCCTCTTGATGGCTCTTGATCTGATCACCCTCTTGATCTGATCGCCCTCTTGATGGCTCTTGATCTAATCGCCCTCTTGATGGCTCTTGATATAATCGCCCTCTTGATGGCTCTTGATCTGATCGCCCTCTTGATGGCTCTTGATCTGATCGCCCTCTTGATGGCTCTTGATCTGATCGCACTCTTGATGGCTCTTGATCTGATCACCTTCTTTATTTGATCGCCCTCTTGATGGCTCTTAATCTGATCGCCCACTTGATGGCTCTTGATCAGATCGCTCGCTTGATGGCTCTAAATCAGATCGCCCACTTTATGTTTTTTTGTCTGATCGCCCTCTTGGTGGCCCTTGATCTGATCGCACACCTG